ATGAGACGCAGAAAAGAGCCGGCACTTGCTGAGCGCTCCTACATCCCACCCACTTTATGTAAGGCACTTTACATTTTCCTTCACTCATCAATCAGCAAAACTTCATGGAGCACCTACTACAAGTCAGGCACTGTTAGGGATACAAAACAAAACCAATAGCGTAAGTCAAAACTCCCTGCTTGAGGAGCTTACAGTCTAGTGGAAGACACAGAAAATCATGAAAATATATATATATATAGCACATTAGAGAAAGATAGCTCTAAGAAGAAACAGTAAGAAACATGGAAGAAAGCATGAAGTTAGTGGGAGAGTTCCAGTGGTAGAGACAAAAAAAAGACAAACAAGAAAACTATGCAGTACCCTAGAGAAAGATAAGCCAAGAGAAAAACATAAACACGGGGGATTTGGGATGATCTGGTGGAACGCTGAGATTTTAAACACACAGTGTAGAGGGAAGAGATGTGGGAACATATGTGTACGTATAACTGATTCACTTTGTTATAGAGCAGAAACTAACACACCACTGTAAAGCAACTATACTCCAATAAAGATGTAAAAAAATAAAAAATAATAAAAAATAAATAAACACACGGTGTAGCCAAGGGAAGGCCTTCCTGAGAGAAGCACTCTCGAGTGGGACCTGAAGGCCATGAACGAAGTATCCATTCAGGCATCTGGCGGGGAGAACACACCAGGCAGGGGGAGGGCAAGTACCCTGAGGTGGGCATGAACCTGGCAGACCTGCAGAGCAGAGAGGAGACGGATCCGTCTGGAGAGAGCAGCGCAGATGAGGCCAGAGATGGGGGCGGGGTGAGGGGGTCAGAGAGATCACGGTTAGGATTTTGGCAGTTACTCTGAGGCGCGTGCAACAGGACTGACTGTGGGGACAGGGCCGAAGCAGGAAAAGCAGCTGGGACGCTGCTGCAAGAACAGAGGCAAGAGGGGACGGCGGCCAAGCCGTGAGGACGCCCAGAAGTGGCAGAATTCTGGATCACGTCGAGGCAAGAACACACAGGATTTGCTAGAGGACCATCTGCAGGGTGTGAGCAAGACAGTCAGGAGTGAGTGACTCGAAGTTTCTGACCCGAGCGCCTGAAAAGGAGCTGCATTTACTGAGATGGCGTAGAGCAGGGGTCGACAAACTGCGGCCCACGGGCCGAATCCAGCCTGCTTCCTGTTTCGTAACAGCTGGGGGTTAAGAATGGCTTTGACATGTTTCAAGGCTTGTGAAAACAAACAAACTAACTAAAACAAAGAAGAATATGCAGCGGAAGCCCTAGGTGGCTCTCGAAACCTAAAAAATGTACTGTGTCTTTAGAGAGTTTGGTGGCCCCTGGACCACAGGAGACGCACGTGCTAAGTGTGAGGGGCCTTCCAGACACAGGCACAGATACTGAGTAGGCAGCGGCAGATGCAGAGCTGAAGGCTGGGGGCGAGGACGGGGCTGGAAATGGAAGTTTGGAAGCCTTCACGTAAATGGTGTGTAAAGCCATGAGGCAGAGAGGATCACCTAGGGTGAGGGTGCAGAGGGAAGGGTCCTCGCATGGAGCCCTGCGGCCTGGCAAGATGTAGAGGTCAGAGCTGAGGGGGCACCAGGAAAGGAGACTAAGGGGCGGCCAGAAGCATGGGAAGAAGCCCAGACGAGGGGGGCGCGGCGCCTGCCCTTCCAACCTTGCAGCCACTAGGCGAGGGGGGTATAATTATCCCCACTTCACTGAGGAGGAGACTGAGGCTCAGAGAAGTCACTGAGCTGAGGCCACCCTACCAGGCAGTGGCAGGCGAGACTCAAGCCTCCCCAGCTCTGCCTACTTCACGTAGCTTCTCTGAGGAGCAAACTGCTGAACTATTACTGATACAACTGCACGGAAAACCAAATAATTTCAGGCAGGCTTTAAAGCCATGCCTGCTTCTAAATAAAGAGCTAACTCTATGGTTACAGGCTGGGAGCCTCATCAAGGTAGCCAGGCCCCTAGTATAAGCACATTTCCCTGAGGAATTCAAAGCATGTTTCAGCTGTTGTCAAAGAGCTCATGAAGCCGTCCAGTTTACCCAAAGAAATAATAATTAAATGAGAAAAACTAGATGTCCACAAAAAAAAAGAAGAAAAAGGAATAATATGTGTATGCATAATATTGTAATTTTTAAAAGAGTATCTTGCAAAACAATGTACTAGAGCAAAGTTCATCAAAACAAACCAAAATCCCAGAATACACCCAACATCTTGAGAAATTCTGGCATTTCAAAACAAAATGGAAAGGACTGATTTCTCAATAAATATGTTGAGTCAACCGATAACTGTTGAGAAACAAAGAATCCTATGACAGACCTTGCACCAGAATAAATGTCAAGAATATTAAATTTCATACATGTTATAAACCCACAAAATAAAACTTGAAGAAAATACAAAAGAATTTTCCCCTAAGATGGGGAAGGTTTCTTTTAACATAGAGAAATAAATGGAAATAGGAAAAAACATAAAGGAAGAGACTGACCAATTTAAATATGCTAAGTTATTTCGCATCTATAAAAAGATACACTAAAAACATAGAAGCACATGGTAAGTTGGAGGGAAATATTTGCACACTGTGACAAACCACTGAGATACAAAAAGCTTTCAGAAGTCAGCAAAACATGGGCGAGAGATGTAACTAACGTTGTTTAAAGCTTTTTGAAAACTGAAAAGGAAAAGAAGAGCCTATAGTTACAGAACAGATCACCAATGGAGATGAACAGCTGGTCTACAACCCAGGACTCCACTCACCAGGCTGGCCTTTGAGAAGGCATGACACCACAGCAAGTGTCAAAACAGACACACAAAGGAGTCCCAGCAGGCCTGGGGAAGAAGTGGTCACCCCAAAGTGAGACCGGAGAAAATGACACTGCACCGCACATTTCCACATCTGAAGCACTCCATTACACTTGCCTCCTAGAATCACAGAGCATCAAGGCTAAAGAGACCCAAGAAATGTTAAGGTCTCACGTCCTTATTTTGCAGCATAACAAGACCGAGGCCCAAGTAGGGAAGAAGCTGGCCCACGAGGATGCCCCTGTCCCACTGTCCTCCTGGTGGTCACACCCAAGAACTGATGCCGTTCTTCACAGACTGGCGAGTGTTTGAAAATAAGACATGACTTTACAAAATACCTCATCCTCCCAAGAATGTCAGGGAAGAAAATGAAGAGTAACAGTGCAAACTTCCTGCTTTGTTAAGAAAATATTTCATAAAGTTTTTTGGGAAGGTCGTGTTACTGCTTTGACTCCACACACATATTTGTCCATCTGAACTCCCCTTCCTGCTGAAGAGCTCAGAGAAGCAAGTGAAGTGACAGGCGGGACAGGCTGAGTGTCCCTGGGATGCCTGCTGTGATACCACTACTTACACCAACCCCATCCCTGCACGACCCAGGACAGCCTGTCCACGATCCCTGATCAGACACGTGCCCCATCTTCTCAGAGCCTTTCGGCACCGAGCCCAGACCTCGGAGCTGGGCACGAGGCCACAGTGCCCTTCCCAGCCCTCCAGACCTGCCCTCACAGCCCAGTGGACACGCCACACCTCCCTGGCTCTGGGGACGGCCACTTCTCATACCTGGCGCTGTATCATTAGGGATTTCAGCGAATATTGTGCGACCATGTCAAGAAATACCAGTGAGGCTTATTGCTGGAAGAGGTGTAAGAATTCACAAATGATTACAGGACTTAATGCTTTCATTACTCAGGATACGACGGCTTTGCTGTCATTGTATCTTCAATTACTTTGATTATGGATTTTTAAATTTTCAGCACACTGCTTAAGTCTGAACAGCAGGGCTCTGGCTTTGGTTCAGCCTGAGGCAAGCCCTGGTCCTCAATTCTGATGAATCCCAGGCCGAGCATTCGGCTGAGCCCCTCGAGCTCCCTGACGGCGCACAGGACGAGATCCCCTGGAACAATCTTAAAATAAAAGTAGAACCTAATGGCTGGATCATCCTCTACGCTCTGAAATCAAAACTCTCTGTTGAAATCACTTCAGTTTTCATAGTGGACTCCAATTTTTGTATATCATTGTGCTAAAATAACAACTCATTGGTATAGTTTATTAATCTCATCACATGTGATATCGACAAGACCCTCCCAGAACTGGGGTCTAAAGGAACATTTTAAATGTTATATTAGGTCTTTTATGGTTTGGCTGCCTGTCTTCCTAAAATAATTTTGTGATTCAGCCTTTCTTTCTCTGTCGGGCCCCTCTCAAGGCGACCTTCCCGGTCACTGAGACGCACACCCTCCTCCCCAGAGCTCCCGGCCCCTCGCGTCACAGCGCCCGCCTTCCCCATGGCCCATAAGCTTCTCTTCCTCCTGCTATAGCCTAGAAACTTCTTGAAGGCAGGAACTGTTCCTTATTGACCCTGTACCCCAGGCGGAGGGCAACACACAGGAAGAACTGGGTCAGCGTTGCTTGGTGAATGAATGAAACCTGAAATCCACCTAGGTGTACTTTATCAAGGTCAAACCTGCCCAAATGCTGTTTGTATTTTAGACTGAGTCTCATTTTGGACTGAATACGGGAACCCTGAGGTAGCTTGGATGATAAAGAGCATGCCCTTGAAGCATCAAGTCAGGTGTGGTCACGGCCACCCCTCAGGACCGTCAGGCTCGGGTGGGGATGGAGGGCTGAACAGGACTGAAACTTCCAGATCAAGGCCTCCTGAGGATGCCTTATTCCCTGAAGGAGCGTCCCCTCCACATCCACCCCCAACAAGTGCACGTGCACGTGTGCAAGTGCACACACACACACACACACACACAGCAAGTGTTTAGCAAGCACTGGTGGGGTCAGCACGGCTCCAGCACTGAGCACGGAAGCAGGCGAGCTCACTCTGCTCTCCTTCGCAACGGAAGTTCCAAAGACAGAGGCTCCTTCCTGCTCGAGGTGCAGCCACGGTTTCCGCTGGACTCGGGATGTAAGATTCCAACCACACTTTTAGGGGGAAAAGCTCCCTGTGGGGTCACTCACTCACCGTCAGCAGTGTGAAGGAGCTTGTGACTTTTCAATGTCCCTTTCGACTTGAATTTCTTGCCACACATGTCACATAGGTGGGTCTTCTCAGTGCTATGACGATTCATATGAGCCTTGAGGTTACTCTTGCTACGAGTTGCATACTCACACAAAGAACATTTGAAGGGCTTCACACCTACCGGAGGAGAAAAAATAGATATACACGTGTATTCATGTATACGTGTGTGTATCAGAAGGAACATATATGTATACATATCTACACACACGTCTCCTTGTCCATTTTGAATAAAGCAGTGCATGCTGGTCCCTAAACACGCCGCACACTTCCCCAGGCCACACTCCTACCCGTGCTACGCCTTCCAACTAGGATGCCCTTTCCTCCTGGGCCTGCAGCAGAATTCCCTGCCTCCCCGTCAGCGCACCCAAATCCCGCCTGTCACTACTGCTGCACCGCTCACAGCACTTTACAGTGGGTAGCTTACACCTCCTCTCCCCACAGTCTGGAACCTCTGAGGGCACAGACTCGAGCATTTGGAGCAGCAGACGTTTACTCACCTGAGTTGAGTTAAAGTGACAGAAATTAACCAAGGGCCTTGGCAAAAGCCACCAGGATCAGGCGCGCAGGATCACACGTGAGAGCGTATCTCAGTTCACAAAATAAGCAGAGCTTTACCACGCTAGTCGCCGCTGTTGGGCTAACGGCTCGACTGCAGGGGCGTCTCACCCTTTGGCTACTCCTCCTTCGTTCCACAGACATGTACCGAGGACCTACTCTGTAGTAAACACCGAGGGCTGATTTCAAGGCGCGAAGCCCTGGCCCGGCCTTCCCTGTCCAGAGGGAATGGACCGGCAAAGAGCCCTTACCACCTGGTGCGACGCGCTGATGGGGGAGGGGAGCTGTGCCTGCACCTGAACACGGGGTATGACAGGCACGTTTCAGTGAGCCCAGCACGGCCACCCCTCGTCTGTACTACCTGCGACCTTGTGGTCGAGGAGGCCCAGGCTTTAACGAGGCTGCGGGGTGTGCCCGGCGGCACAGAGCGGAGGCGCGTGCGTGCTGGTCAACGAAAAAGCAGCTCCCAGCCTCAGCTTCGGCCCAGCTCCTCCTGCCGTGTCCAGGTTCCTACTCCATCAGCTACTGTTCTCTTTACTGAACCGTTCGCTTGATCCCAGATCGTAGAAAATACTTATTCCTTCTCCCTGTGGAGCCGTCCTGCTTGCCTGCCACCAGCACCACAGGTTCCTAACTCACAGGAAGGGCCCTCCCTGGCCCCAAGCCTCCCAGCCTCATCACCAGGAGAGTAGCGTCCTCTTCCAGGGGCAGAGGCACAGCCCCGCCGTCCCTAACAGCACCCTGACCTCCAACTGCCCAGCGTCCTAGAGCGTGGCCCACATCTCCCTTCACAGGCAAGCACCCCAAGGCATGGCCTACCTTCCTCCTCGCCCGGCTTCGTCTCCACCCAGTCTTCCCCAGCCGGAATCAGAGGACTCTGCCATCCTCCTGGCCTTCCTTCACCCGAGACACCAGCAACTGCCCCCCCCCACCCCCCGCCTACCACCACCAGCGCCCCGGGGGCGGCCACCAGAGTTACCACCGTGACCAGGCCAGCGCGGTTGCTGCTCCCCTGAAGCTTGCTTTCCGCCCGGGAGTTGTGGTGACTGGCTTAACTACAGCTCCAACCGGAGCCGTGAAGAATGCACACCGCTGCACACCGCAACTGCAGCTGAGTAATGCTTTAAATCTGGCTGACGGACACATTTCTCAGCACACTAAAGAAATTCTAACCACAGGGGATGTGGAGATATAGCTTCCTCCTAAAGAATTCCCAAAGGAAACACAAAATCACAAAGGGGCTCCATTTTGATGGAGGAATACTCACCTTCATGAGCCCAAATATGACGCTGAAGGTCTGAGCCATTCTTCATGAAATAGAAATCACAATACGGGCATTTCATGGCTCTCTTTCCAATGAGCCCTTTCAGCTGCACCCTCCTCCCGAGAACCTCGGAAATGGTGCTCATGGAAACCTCTAGAAGAAAAGCAGGATGAGAACTAGAAGCAGCCAAAGAACCGTGGTTCAAGTTAGACGTCACTGAGCCTCCTGACAGAACCTGCACCTCCGCTCAACCCCAGCAGCTCTGAGGCGGCAAGTTAACCATGTGCCTCGTGGCGTCACGTGATAGGACCTCTGCCTAAAAAGTCAAACCAGAATCTAAGCGAGTCTCAGAGCTAAATTTCTGTTAACACAAAATGTGTGGGATGGAGAAACAGTATCACGAGGCCACAGTAGGACAAAGGCAGAATGTGAAACCACTCAGGAAAAGAGACTCAGTTTCCCCAACAAATTAACGTCATGGGGAAAAAAGCAGGGCTGGGGGTGTCCTGCAGAACACAAGAAACTTAGGTGACATAACAACTCGATTCAAACAAACCAACTGTAAAAAGGAAGTCTGTGTCAACTGAGGAAACTTTAAATGGACTAATACTAACTGATAATAAGAAACTACTTTTAATACTGTTTTAATGGTGATGTGTTAGCTCTGTTTTTTAAAAGTCCTTGTTGGTTGGAGATGCAGGCTGAAGCTTTTTTATGGGGAAATCACATCATGTTGGGATATACTGTAGAATATTTGAGGGAGAAAAGTGGGGGTCAGTTTCTGCCAGCAGCTTGACCAAACACAGACAACTATGGAAGCCGAGTTATGGGTACCTGGCTGTTCTTTATATTATTCTGCGTATTTTGTACCCATTTGAAATTTTACGTAATAAAAAATTTAAAATAATAAGCAAAAGTTGAAGGGGTTAAATGGGTATCCCTGGCCCACACTGGACACAGGTTACACAGGACGCGGGTTAACACGGGGAGGACAAAACTGGGCAGTCAGAGAATCACATAACCCACGTGTCCCCACGTGGAGGAAGGCCACAAGGCTCCCCGATCCCAGAAGAAACATGAGGGTTAGCGCACTTCCGTTATTTCTTCATTTTTCTCCAGTATCATCTTTAATCAGTGGGTCAGTTCCCCAATAGGAGGAGCAGACACAAAGTAAGAGAAAGAGAAAAGGGACACGGACCTAGCTGCTCTGTTCCCCATTTATGCACACACAGCATACATCTGCACTCATGGGCCCCGAGCGATGTGGCACCGGAGGTCTGGGGACAAGCCGCTAAGGATGGCGGCCCTGCCTCAAGGCTCTTGGGCAGCGGGAGAATACCAGTGCCTAGAGTACAGGGGTGAGTGCACCGTGACGGTCCGCATGGAGGGGGGGCCACCAAAGGCTCCCCAAGGTGGCTCTGACGGAGGACGTCGAGAATACCCAGGAATTGACTGGGCAGAACCAAGGAGCAGGGTCCCAGGCAGTGAGAACAAAAGTGACAAGGCATGTGATGCCCAGGGAGTTTGGGGCTTGAGGACACCAAAGGTGATGGTCACTCCAACTCACTGGGTTCCTCAGCCTGGGAGGGAGCCTACACCCCTTGTAAACCATCACTTGGTTCAGGAACCTACCAATGGGGCCAAGGAAGTAGAATATGTGTCAGGTCTGCACTGGGTAAGTGACCCGTCTAAAGGCAGTCACAGTTACTATTAAAAGGGGAAGGGAGCACAGGGAACTCTACTCAATACTCTGTAATGGCCTATATGGGAAAAGAATCTAAAAAAAAAAAAGAATGGACATATGTATATGTATAAATGACTCACTTTGCTGTACACCTGAAACTAACAGAACATTGTAAATCAACTATACTCTAAGAAAAATTTTTTACAAAAGGTGGGGGTAATCATGAGACTGGGGCAGACATATCTGAAGACCAGATAAAAGGATAAAATGAAGCACATAATTATATAAACTCCTGAGCTTTAAAAAAAAGTTAATTCTTGCCCTTGAATTTACTCATATCTTTATTCCCTCTTATATTTCCATTTAATACAGTTGATATATAATGCTGTGTCTTAAAATAAACATAAGCATCTTAAAATCAATCTCCCACTCTAAGATGCATAACCTTACCGGGATGGTTGGTCTTGATATGTGACTTTATCAGTCGATCTTCTGAAAAAGACTTTTCACACACAGGACAAGAATAACTCCTTTTGTCCTTAACAGAAAGAGAGCATAATCAATGGACCGTCTCGTTTAAAACTCAGGCTCTGTGGAAAAATACCACCACCACCACCATCACCGTCACAGCTAGATGCACAGCGCGCCTTTCCCAGCGCCTGGCATGCAGCCCGCAGCTGGCCCCGCACAGCCCGGGGAGCTCAAGGGCAGTGGGGCAATGGCCTCACCTGCATTTCAGGAGGGAGGGACGGGCCTTAGAGACAACGGACCTGTGGAGGTGGCCAGGCCAGGGGAGGGCGGGGCTCGGCCTCGAGGTCTACCATGCAGACCAGGGCTGCTCCACAGCCCGACACGTATTCTGCCCTCCAGTGCTCAAGGCATGGTGTGTGTGAGGGGTTCATATAAGTTATCTTATTGAGACTCGTGACCACTCTTGAAGGACAGGCATTATTACGCTTTTACAGATTAAGAAACCAAGACCAAGGGCAAAGAGCCCCAGGTCTGCGAGAAAGAGGCAGCGTCAGAACCCGAGGGTACGGACGCCCACCCCAGGCTCCGACCACTCCAAGGCCACGTCCCACCCAGGCTGCAGGTAAGGGGCTCGCTCTGTGCATCTGCTGGCTCATCAACACACCTGCCTGCAGTGCCACGTTCTCAATTAGGAAGAAGCTTTTGTGAAGGATCACGCCATTGCTCATCCGCCTTTCCTCTCAGAGTAATGCCATTTCACAAGACAGTTCTTCAGAGGGTGGGTGTTATGGGTTAAATTCTGCCCCCACAGATTCATGTGTTGAAGTCCTAACCCCCAGTACCTCAGAATATGACCTTATTTGGAAATATGGTCATTACAGATGTAATTAGTTAAGATGAGTTTGCAGGCCCTAATTCAATATGACTAGTGTCCTTGAGTGGCACGGACTTATATATACTACCAAATGTAAAACAGATAGCTAGTGGGAAGCAGCTGCATAGCACAGGGAGATCAGCTCAGTGCTTTGTGACCACCTAGAGGGGTGAGGTAGGGAGGGTGGGAGGGAGACGCAGGAAGGAGGGGATATGGGGATACATGTATATGTATAGCTGATTCACTTTGTTATAAAGCAGAAACTAACGCACCATTGTGAAGCAATTATACTACAATAAAGATGTTGAAAAATAAAAAAATTTTTAAAAAGAGGAAATGTAGACAGAGACCTGCAAGAGGGAGAACACCATGTCTTCATGGGAGAGAGAAAATACCCAAACCCACCCCAAGAGAAGAAAATTACAAGCCAGTATCTCTCAAGAACATAGATGCAAATATTCTCGACAAAATATTAGCACATAAAACCCAAAATGTTTAAAAAGAACTATACACCACAACCAAGTGGGATTTATCCCAGGTACAAGGTTGATTCAACATTCTAAAATCAATTAATGTAATCCATCACATCAACAGGCTAAGAAATAAAAACCACATGATAATATCAATAGAGGCAGAAAAATAATTTGGCAAAATCCAATACCTATTCATGATAAGCAATCTCAGTAAAGCAGGAATAGAGGGGAAGTTCCTCAACTTGATAAAGAGTATCTACAAACAACCTATAGCTAACATTATACTTAATGGTGAGAAACCAGAGACTTTCCCACTAAGATTAGAAACAAAGCAAGGATGTCCCCTCCCAGCACTCTGTTTTAACATCATAGCTGAAGTCTTAGCTAATGCAATAAGACAAGAAAAGGAAATAAAATATATAGAGATTGAGAAAGAAGAAATTAAAATTGTCTTTGTTTGCAGATGACATAATCACCTATGTAGAAATTCTAAAAGAACAGACAAAAACATTCCTGGAGCTAACAAGCGATTATGGCAAGTTACAGGATACAAGGTTAATATACAAAAGTCAATTGCTTTCCTATATACTAGAAATGAACAAGTGGAATTTGAAATTAAAAACACAATACTACTTACATTAGCACACAAAAAATTCAGTGCTTAGGTATAACTCTAACAAAATATGTACAAGATCTATATGAGGAAAACTTCAAAACTGATAAAGGGAATCAAAGAACTAAATAAATGGAGAGCTATTCCAGGTTCAAGGATAGGAAGACTCATCGTTGTCAGACGTCAGTTCTTCCCAATTTGATCTACAGATTCAATGCAATCTCAATCAAAACCTCAGCAAGTTATTTTGTGGGTACTGACAAACTGATTATAAAGTTTATATGGAGAGGCAAAAGACCCAGAAGCCAACAAAAAATACTGGAGGAGAAGAACAAAGTTGGAGGACTGACATTACTCAACTTCTAGACTTACTATAAAGCTACAGTGATGAAGAGTATGTGATACTGGTGAAATAACAGACAAATAGATCAAATGGAACAGAACAGAGTCCAGAAACAGACTCTCTTAAATACAGTCAATGGATCTTTGACACACGAGCAAATGCTACACAATGGATCAAAGGTAGTTTTCTCAGGCTTCCCTGGCAGAACAGTGGTTAAGAATCCACCTGCCAACGCAGGGGACACGGGTTTGAGTCCTGGTCTGGGAAGATCCCACATGCCACAGAGCAACTAAGCCCGTGCACCACAACTACTGAGCCTGCGTGCCTAGAGCCCATGCTCCGCAACAACAGAAGACACTGCAACGAGAAACCCGCACACCACAACGAAGAGTAGCCCCCGCTCGCCGCAACTAGAGAAAGCCCACGCACAGCAACGAAGACCCAATGCAGCCAAAAATAAATAATTAATTAATAAAAAAAAAAAAGATAGTTATCTCAACAAATGATGCTGAAACTGGACAGGCACATGCAAAAGAAAAAAAAAACGAACCTAGACAAAAACCTTACACCCTTCCACAAATATTAACTAATAATGGATCACAGATCTAAATGCAAAATACAAAACTATAAAATTCCTAGAACACACAGGAGAAAACCTGGATGACCTGGAGTATGGTAATGATTTTTTAGATATAACCCCGAAGGCATTACCCTTGAAAGAGAAAAGAATTGATAAACTAGACTCCATTAAAATTAAAAATTTCTGCTCCGTGAAAGACACTGTCAAGAGAATGAAAAAACAAGCCACAGACTGAGAGAAAATATTTTCAAAAGTTACATCTGAAATAGGCCAAAGACCTGAACAGACACCCTACCAAAGTGGATATACAAATGGCAAGTAAGCATATGAAAAGATGTTCCACATCATATGTCATCAGAGAAATGCAACTCAAAACGACAAGGTACCATTACATACCTACAGAATGATCGAAATCTAGAACACTGACAACACCAAGAGCCGGTGAGGATGTGGGGCAATGGAAACTCTCATTCATTGCTGGTGGGGATGCAAAATGGTGCAGCCACTTTGGAAGGCAGTTTCTCTCAAAACTGAAATACTCTTACCATATGACCCAACAATTGCACTCCTTGGTATCTATCCTAATGAACTGAAAACTTATGTCCACACAAAAACCTACACACGGATGAAGCAGCTTTATTCATAACTGCCAAAACTTAGAAGCAAGCAGGATGTCCTTCAGCATATGAATGGACAAATTGTGGTACAACCGAACAATGGACTGTTATTCAGTGCTAAGAAGAAATGAGCTATCAAGCCATGAAAAGATGTGAAAGAAACTTAAATGCATATTACTAGGAGAAAAAAAGCCAATCTGAAAAGGCTACATATTATATGATTCCAACTGTAAGACATTCTGAAAACAGCAAAATGATGGCGACAGTAAAGGGATCCGTGGTAGCCAGGGAGTAGAGGGGAGAGAGGGGTGGACAGGAAGAGCAAGGAGGATTTTCAGGGCAGTGAAACTACGCTGTGGGGTACTATAATGAGGGGTACGCATCAGTGAACATTTGTCCAGATCCCAAAAATGTGCAGCACCGAGTGGACCCCAATGTAAACTATGGACTCTGGGTGTTACTCACGTGTCAACGTAGGTTTATCGACTGTAACAAAGGTAGCGCTAAGGTATGGGACGTCAAGAGTGCAGGAGGCTGTGCACATGTGGCGGTAGTGGGTACACAGGGAAATCTCCGTACTTTCTGCCCAGTTTTGCAGTGGCCGATGCCACCGACTTCCACCCAGGCTACATCACAGGGTCCAGGCTTGTCAATGTACTCCCATCAGCGACCTCCTATGCCCTTGACCTTCCAGGTCACCCCATCACTCCTGGCACCTGCACACAGGAACTGGTGCTCTCACGCCCTTTTGAAAGACGTCCCGGGCAGCACACACCCTGGAGGAGGCCTGTCGCCACCCCTGGCTGCCCCAGTGCCCTCACCATCAGAGCTGATGGAGGCATTCAGAAGGGCTTTGAAGGAGTTTACACTGATCTCTCCTGAGCCCTTGCTGTTTGATTTTTTTTCTTTTAATCTCTGATAGCCTGAAAGCAATTTATCTTAGAGCTTATCAGGGTCCCTCACTTCTTGATGCCTTTGAAGACCGTCGGAAGGATGCAGGCAGTGAGACAGGGTGTTGGAGAAGGGTGCACTCTAAGGACTCATTTATTTCTTTTGCAGAAACCTCAGTCCCCGACCGGAGATGAAAACCCAAACTGACACAGCAAACTTAAAAAGCACAGTGGTGAAAAGAGTTCTCGGCAGAGGAGGAGAGAGCGCCCCGCGCCGTAATGGCGGTAAAAGAGCCCAGCCCTCGCAGTTTGTTTGCTCTGATGGAAATGGCCTTCAAAGCCACACAGGACTCTTTGAAAGAAGGCAGGTGGCAGCAGAAGGCAGTGGCCATGGGGTGTGGGGCGGAGGCGGGGCGGGAGCAGCTCCGGGGCTGAAGCTCCGAGCGCGGCTCGCAGCTCTGGACGAACCCCGCCTTGGCCTACGCCTCTGTGGCAGGTTCCTCGGCCCCCGAAGCCACAGGGCAATTCTCAAGCCTGAAACCAGTGGTGGGTGGAAAATATCAAATCTACCTCCACCCTGCCGCCAAGTGTATTAACGATCACATAAGTACACCTATAAAGTATCTAACATCAGGTTAAAAAAATAAGGTGGGAGATTCCACTCTGAACAATTTCTCAGGAATAAAAAGGCCGCGGACTCACTCATTTATTCCTCAAACCTTCCGGGGCCCCTGTGCTGTGCCGGACATAGTACTGGGGACAAAGGTGGGAGACTCTGGCCCTGCCCTCAAGGGGCTCATAAAGTGGTGAGAACTGCCAGCACACAGAGGCCACTAATCATCGTGGGACACAGAGCAAGTGTGACAGACAGGAAAACTGACACTTCCATCGTGGCTAATTTAACAAGTTAGAAAAGAGCCAGAAACGTGCTCCATATGGGATTTCAACTCCAGGCTCTTCCTGTCCACTGAGCGCGGCTGAGCGCTGCTCTGCTTTGCAGGCCGTGCCCCTCACTTCCGGCCTCGGGCTTGCTAACAGGCAGCTGTTTTAGAACCAGGAAACTCCGCTTGCCAGAGGTCCCCAGCACTGCGGATAGATGCTCAAACAGGGCAGCACAGAAACAGGCAGTCTGCGACCACATAAGAAAAGACCATACTCCTGCAGCTCTTAGAAAGGAAAAACCTTTTGTCCAATTGCTTTAGTTGAATACCATTTTACTCTACTTTAAAAAAAAAACTATAGACAGACCCATTTATTTCCAGAAAGATATTGGAGGTCGCTCCATCTACTTCTCTGTGTTGGCAATATATTATTTTAGTTTACTTCCAGCAAGGACACGTAAGATTTCATAAATACATTTACCTTTATAGCCAAATACAGTCTACACACTTCTCGAAGACAGGCATTAATTTTAAACGTTTGTTGAAAGGCCACCTCACCCTGGATGGAAGCACCACCACCACTGTTACTATTCCTCCTCCCTCCTCCTGCCACCACTACTAAAAAGGAGGAGCTGGTGTAGACCGGCCTCCCCGTCACGCCTGGACCTGTGCTGGGTCCCTCACAATCGTTATCTCGCTAACTTCCCACAGCAACCCCGGAGGCGGGGACTGCCACCCCACTTTCCAGACGAGAGGTCAGAGAGGTTAGGTCGTGAAGCCACACCACTTGCAGATGGTGGAGTCTGAATGCCAAAATGTGCCCGCTCTTCCCAAGTGTGGACTTGTAACTGCTACAGTGCCCTGAGCACTGGGTGCCTGAGAGATCTTCTGAGAAGGGACACGAGCCAGAGACAAAGGGGACAGACTGACATATCCTGAACATACACCATAAGCTCGACTTCCTGCTATGTCAAATGTCTGTATCAGGGCGAACTTATTTAAACAACAGGTTCCCAGGTCCGCCCCTCCAAATTATGGTGGAGGTCTGAGCCAGGAATCTCATTCAAAACGTGTACCCCCAAGTAATTCTGATTCAGGATGTCATAACTTACATCATCGGGGTCACTGACTTACAAAGTTATTTAATGAGACCTACACAGACATCACCACCCAGAACATACTTGCACACACAGTGGCATATAAACACACTGAAACACAGGACAAAAGGTCTCAGAAAACAATACCTATTACCTTGTCATGGGTAAATAGTGCTGATCATTTCTATTTCATTCTATTCCATTTCATTTTTAAGATAAACTGGTTGTAATCCACTAATTTCACAACCCTATAATGGATCATGACCTGGGGGCTGAAAAAACACTGACCTGGCTGTTCTATACTTAATTTCTAGTTTAATCCTCACAATCCTGAGAGGTTGGAGAGAGTACCATATCTCCATTTTACAGATGACAAAACTGAGGCTTAGGGAAGCAAAGCAATTTGCCCAGGATCACAGAGGTGGATATGGGGTCTTAACTCTAACATGCTAGAACCCAAAGCCTGCCTTTTATTGTACAGAAACCATGTTTTCTCAAGTCTCCCTTTCACAAAGTTTGCACAGTGCTGTAAATAAAATAGGTTTGCTCCAGTCACTGACTAACTCCTTTGACCAGGTCCCCACGTTTCCTTGATGCCAACACATCCTTGACTCCAAGTCACGCCATCTGGCTACTAATGGGAGGGAGGAGGTGATGGGAAGAAGCTACATTAAATGTACACACACCTTCCAGTCATTAGGTGTATCTTTAGCTAAGAAACGGTTGTTGAGAGTCACAGAAACGGGCACTCAGCCAAATTATCCTGGAGTCCTAGTGCAACCAGAATGGACATGACTATAGGCTCATTTGGGGAGGGACAGAGGGGGATGCATTCTACTTTAAATTTCCTTAGTTTTTTCACCACATGGGAATCTGTGTTGCAAAGAAGTAAGTGTTGGATGGAATGTGAGAGCCCAACCAGACTTTCAGCGCACCTGGCCCCATCTCTCTGGGTCACAGGCAAGGAAACCAAGGCCCCCACGGACGTGGGGACTGGACCCAGGTCAGAACGGCACCGGGCTCCCTGCCGGAGAGACACCTCCCCACGCTTGACCAGCGTCCTTAGGCACCTTCACATAACAAAGCTCGTTTGTGCTCTCTCCTTGGAGCCTCACCACCACCCTGAGAAAGTGGGGTGCGGTATGCACACCATTATTGCATATATATATATATATATATATATATTTTATGACTCCTTTTACACGAAGCGTCCAGAATGGGCAGATCCATGGAGACAGAAAGTAGACGGGTCGTTGCCTAGGAACTCAGGGAGGAGAAATAAGTGATGACAGACAATGGGAGGTCTTTCCACCGTGTCACCATCCCCTTGGTGCCTGTGGCTTCATCACAGACATAACTGACAGGCTCTAAAGACAAATACGGTCTAAGCTCAAAACGCTGGAACCTGTTTTCATAAAGAATGCTCTCTTCCCACATCGGCAACACAGTCCGCCTGCCTCAGGGAGAGCGCGTAGTCATTCGACGCCCCAGGTAAATGCGTGTGCTGCCTGTGAGTAAACAGGAATAGCACACCTGTCATGCCCCACACGCACAGAGAGAGAGAGAGAGAGAGAGAGAGAGAGAGAGAGGAGAACGGGAACTAAGAGGTACCAAGTGACGTACAGCAGCTGTCACGCAGTCACCTATACAAGCTGAGCCAGGTTCTTTACCTAGAGCACTCCGTTTTAACCTCCCAATAACCCAGAAGACCCATACACATACACAAAGACATACACGTGCATACATGTGCGCTATGTGTTCAGGGGTGTGTGCGGTACGTGTGTACACATGTGTAGACTGCATGGGTGGATGTGTGTGCATATGTGTGTATATATACGTGTGTGTGTGTGTGTGTGTACAAAGCTGATATACTGTTTAATATACATTTTATATAGAAGGCCACCAAGTCTCAGAAGGGACGAGTGACTTGTCCAGCACCACACAGCCTGTGCAGATACTGGAGACAACACCTGAACCCAGGTATCCAACCCCAAAGCGCAGGCTCTTACCTACCCACGAAACCCAAAACACCCTGACTTCACCCTTGGTAACAAACTGCTGGAGCGTTAGTGATTTTTAGGCCAGAAAACGGAGGCGGCGCATCAAGTTTCTGAAGCCTCATGGTGCGCAGTCTGTGGCCTAGAAAGGAATGCAGTTAAAGCAGAACCACACCTGGGGCCAGGTGCGCCTCCTTTATAACTTGGAGAGTCTCAAATCACTCTCAGGTGTCAGCCTCTCAAGTTAGAGTAGCATTTGCTAAAATAAACATTCACTCGTGTCACATGTTCAACACCCACCAGGGAATTAAACACATTTTGCCACCATGAATATTAACAGCACCTTGAATTAACATATCACTTTTTTTTAAAGTGCTTTACAGACATTCTTCCGTAGACTTTCCAAGAAACAGCACAGTGATACGACAACGATGATCATCAGCGTTTACTGTGCTCTCACTATGACCCGAACACCGCACTTAGCACTTGACAGGCATCATCTAACTCACTCTCTCAACAGCTTTTAGTGGCGGCTATTCTTACTATCATCCCTGTTATTAAGGGTTATTTAAAACATCATTTAAGAAACCCTTGCTTTACTCCTATTCTGCAGACTTTCTCCGATGCTTAAAAATCTGCATAGAAAAGCAAATTTATTCAATGTAACCTTTTTTCCAACATATGTGAGGCTGTCCCTGTGACAGGAACCCTGGGATGGAGGCCTTTGTAAAGTGGAGGGCCTGCTTCGTGAGAAGGACCTCCCCATTTTCCGGGGAAGACGCCCACACACGGGGCTCACGGGGAGCACGGGCGCCTCCGTATGCATCACTGTGAGGAAGCAGGGAGCACCCAGGGGAGACGGGGCTGCCGCTCGGGCGCGCTACTTACCAGCTCTGTGTGAACTTTAAGATGTGCCTGCAGCTTATATTTATCTGGAGTCGAGTAGTCACAGCCGTCAGTGGGACACTTCAGCAAGATGTTACTGTGTTTCTGAATTACATGGCGTTTAAGGCAGTTTTTGGTGATGGAAGAATAATGACACTGGGAGCAATAATACAGATGTTCCCGGGTGTGGGTGCGGACATGCATGTCAAAATGCACTTGGTACCAAAAAAGTTTGCCTAAAAAAATATTTTCACATGAGAACAAGGAAGTTTCTTTTATCCTGAAGTTGATTTCTTTTAATTAGTATTATTTTTTAACTACTATATTTCTCTCCCTCTCATGCTTGTCCGGGTCACCCTTCACACTTTGCACCACATCTCTGGCTGGACATGACTTTTCAAAGGTGGCAGGTGGCAAATATTAAGGGTGCTACTACTTCTGCATGATGTCACAGCTGGGAGAGGAGGAAACGGATGTTTACCGAGGACCAATTACGGTGCCAACTACCTTTATGCACACGCGTGAAATCAACGAGGCTCTGAACTCTGCTGACACCTGGGCCATCTACATCCTGTCCTGCCAGCTCTCCACGAGACCAGAGGCCACGCTTTCACGGCAAGCTGGGAGGGTTGCATTCGGGGTCTCCCTACAAAGAGCTGCAGCCACTTCTGTGATCTCTCTCTGCTCATCTAGGACATGGCCACAGCTTAAAGCTCGACTTTAAACTTGTCACGTGCCAGAAGAAAGGTGCTTCTTGGCTAAAGTTCTGGCAGAGGCCGTGGGCTAAGCGTCCGCCTGCACGCCTGACGGAGCCAGCACGGTTAGCTGTCCCGCCATCCTGGCTGCCTTCACAGGCTTCACGAGCTAAACTGCACGCACCACTGTGCACATCACTATCTACGAATGACGGCTAGCTCACTTAGAAGGCGTTCTGTGCAAAGAGACACGAGCTCAGCTCAAACACCAGGTGACCCACAGCCAGGCGGGGACGGGAGGGGCTGCTGGGAAGACAGGCCCCAGCCTCGCGCCCCGGCGCCCCCCCTTACCACAGTATTCGCACTCCAGGTCGCCATACACCTTCCGGATCCTCTCGCACAGGCCGGTATTCATGCGCCTCTTCTGTAAACTGTCCAGGATCTTCATGAACGCAGTGATGCCCGCCCGGTGCTCGGGGAGGGGCGTGCAAGAGTCAGGCCGGCACAGGGCCGCGTCCCTCCCACCAGCTCCCGGAGGAGGGTCTGAGGCCTCGGCTGGGTTTGCCCTGAGACCCCTGCCGGGATCTGGGCCGTCGGATGGGAGGGCAGCCACTTGCTGCCCTTCAGCCGGGGGGCTCTCGGCGCCCTGGGCTTCCGGGTTTGCTGCGGCGCCTTTGGCCTTGGACAGCAGTGGTGCGACGTCCTGGCCCTGAGCTGGACTGGAGCCTCCCTGCTGGGTGTGCAAGGTCTTCTCCGGAGCAGCCAGAGCCTCGGCAGAGGAGGGATCACTCTTCAACAGGAACTCATCGGAAACCACCGCGTACCGACGAAGGTCGGAGGACACCGCGGAGGCCGCCAGCTGGCAGGGTGCTGGGGCGGCGCTGTCTGCCTGGGCGGCGGCCGAGCACACAGGCGCGGCGGGCACCTCTGTTGGGGCCTCGGACCCCTCCTCGGGACGAGCGTCCCCAGCGCCGGCCGCCTCCTTGGGTGCGTTCACCCCCTGGAACACAAACTCCTCTTCCGCCAGCTGCAGCTGCCCGCCCAGGGCCTCCTGCTGGATGTCCCCGCCGGGCCCCAGGAGGCAGAAGCTCTGGTTGATGGAGCTGGTGAAGACCAGGGTCTCCTGGGCGGCCCCGTGCGCCTCCTTGATGTGGGCGCGCAGGCGGATGGAGCTGACGAACTTCTTGAGGCAGAGGGCGCAGACGTACACGAACGGGTGCTTCCTGACGTGCAGCTCCAGCGCCTGGTACTTGGTGGCCCCATGGCCGCAGAGCTCGCAGGCGAAGGGCCACTTGTCGCCGTGGACCAGCATGTGGCGGTCGCGGTCCAGCTCGTTCTTGAACTTGCGCTCGCAGATGTGGCAGTCGTAGAGCAGCTGCCGCTTGCCCTCCCTCGTCATCAGGCAGAGCTCGTCCAGGGCCTCCTGGACCTTCTTGTCCTGCGGGTCGTGTGCGTCGCGGATGTGCTTGATGAGGTTCTTGACATCCGAGTACTTCTTCTTGCAGAAGCGGCAGTGCTGCTTGATCTTCTTGTGCACGCGCTCCACGTGCACCTTGAGGTGGCCCTTGCTCAGGCAGGTGAAGGAACAGCAGTCGCAGGCGAACTTCTCGCCCGTGTGCTTGCGCAGGTGCACGTTGAGGTTGGCCTTGATGGCGCTGGCGTAGCTGCACTGGGGGCACTTGTACGGCTTCTCGTTCGTGTGGATCCGCAGGTGGGCCTGCAGCGAGTGCTTGAACTTGAAGACCTTGTTGCAGTACTCACAGGTGAAGATCTTGAGCTGGGTGGGCCCGAGCCTAGAAACAGAAGACAGCACCATTACGGGTGGAGATCCGGCACCTCCCTGATGACCCCTACTTCCTTCCAGCTGCCGAACACCGAAGGCTTAAAAGTGAGCTAAAAGGGGCTGAGGACGGACACATACATTCATTCATCAACAAACAGGACGGGAAGACGTAGAGCGGACCAGGCGCACACGGAGACGAAGACCGGGCCCCTGCTGCCCTGGCGCTGGGAGACAGGAGGCAGGTCTGCACACGGCTGCAGGACAGTGTGCGAGTGGCGACAGGTGCACGTGCGGGCAAAAGAGAAGGCGCCCTCTAACACAGATGAAGGTAGTTGGGCAGAGGAGATGCCTGAGTTGAGGGATGCAGAATAAGGAAGAGGGAGGCAAGAGAAGGCAGAGGGATGTGTCATTTGCTAGGCACACAGCAGCCAGCGGTGCTCCAAAGCTGACCCGGACGAACTCCGAGGTATTCTAACAGGACCAGTCTTAATGGAATGAACTCAGCCTGCTCCATGAAACTAGATACGACCTGCTTGGGTTTGTTCAATAGTTTTGATCATCCAGATTCGCCTATTCATTCCATCAACTGTCAGGGTAACACTCTTTCTCTCTGCTGCAAGTTTCCATGTGAGGGCCACTCTTTCGTGAAAGAGCCCTGGCCTTTTTCCACATCCTCACTTCCCCCCAGGAAAAGGGAACTGGCGTATCTGAGCGGGGACTTTAGAACAGGATCAAGCCTCTACAGCCGTGCTCACTCCTGCCTTTCTGGTGAGAAGGCGTCTGCCTGTGGACAGCACGTGACACGGTAGGCACTTAGCCAGGAGAGTCTGGCGGCGGCAGTCAAGGACCGAGGTGGGGGGAGGCAGACGTGCAGGACAGCCAGCGGGAGCTCAATGTGACCTGCCCCAGGCTCCCTTCTCCCATGGCTCCACCAGTCATGGGCCTGACGTGTGAGCCCCCGTCTTCTTCCTCCTCCAGCATGTCTGGTTCAGAACTCAGACAGGGAAAATAAGGTTGTTCAACTGCCATTTGTTAAACTCAGATATCATTAATTAATAAGTGATTGCCATTTTATTACCACTCGCCTGTGCGTTTCGAGCACTGTGTTAGATTTTGCGCATGCGATAGAGAATGAAAGCCTGGTCTGCCTCACGGGTCCTTTCTCTCTCAATACGGCGACGTGGATGCTGAATGAGATGGTAATAGTAATCACGGCTAACAATTACTGAGTACTTACAATACTCAAAACTCTTTGCTAAGTATTTAATTTCAACCCTATCATTATGCCCATTTTACAGGTGAGAAAACTGAGTATAACCCAAGGTCATACAGTTAGTAAGTGGTGAAGCCAGGATTTGAACCCAAGCAGACTAGAACCTGCACATTCTTCCACATCCTCCTACTGCCTGGAAACACTGTGAACACCAACCCCCCTCGCCGGTGGGACCATACACGCGGAGAAGACCTCCTGTGAGGCGGGTGAGGCTTCCTCTCTCCATAACTGCTCCCTCGGGATTTTGCCTAGGTTATCCAGGTAGGTCCTCAGAAGCACTGACGGTCATTTAGTGCCATTAATCAGACACCATTAAGCTGTGCCCACTGTAACTGTAAAGTCTGTATTTATGGAACTATCCGTACAACTGTGTTTGACCAACACAGGTTACCTTATGTTTTAAATGAAAAATATTTAAGCAGACTGCGGTCCATAAACACCAGAGGGTAGAAGTCCCAGGCTGTAATTAAAACATTCAAATCTGAAAGTCAGTACTATGCCTGCACGCTAAACCCAAGGCTAATTTAAGGAAACTAATTTGGACCTTTCTTAAATGACAAAGATAGCCAGAAGGCGATCATTTTACTGGAGGAAGAAACTCTGGATTCACAGCATTAATTAAACAAGTCACAGTATTTCCTTCTCTAATGCAAGGTCTAAATGGTCTTAGGAGCATCTCTGACTCTGATTTTTTCGTATTATTACCCGAATACCTGGTCCAGCCCTCAGTGCTGCCTCCCACCAAGGGTGATGAATCGGAAGAAGCGGCCAAGCCGCCGGCACCAGACTCTCAAGCGCAAGCCTGCACCCGTGGGCTGACGCACAGAGCTGTGATGTCGGGTGATTCCTACCACATTATTTCACTCCGAATGGCCCCTATTCATTGAGAGAGGCACTCTCTCCCACTGCATTTTAGAAAGCATTCAGCCAGAGCTTTAAAAGATCAGACCCCTTGATCTGGTTATTCCACTGCTGGGAATCTAGCGAAAGAAAGAATACGAAATTCAAGCAAAGGTGCTCATTGCATGAGTTTTCACAATAGTTTAAGAGTAGAAGCTGCTTGAAGGTTCCAACGTAGGGAACTAGTTTGGACATTTCTTTTTTTTTTTAACTCACTCATTCATTCATTCTTTCTTTCAAAAAAGTATTCCAGGCACTGGGGACACAATGGGCACAAAAACAAACACAACTCATGCTCCATTGTAGTGCACCTTCTATAGTAAGTGGTGGGCCAGCCAGGTAACCATATAAATGAGCAGATAAGGACCACCAGCTCCCTGTGATGGAAAAAGGCAGGATGCTCTAGGACCCCAGGTCAAGGCGGACTGATCTGTCTGGGGGACAGGGAAGGCCGCCCTGAAGACTGGACATTTGAGCAGACAGCTGAAATATGAACAGGAGTTAACCAAGTGAGGGGGAGGAGAGGTACCCAGTATGAGGAAGAGGCACATGCAGGAGAGATCAAGGAAATAAAAAGGACCCGGATGGCTGGAGCAGATGCTGGAGCCCAGAGAACCAGAGGGAGCACAAGAGGGGGACCAGGCTGGAGAGGTGGCAGCCGTGGAAGACCCTGTAGGCCAAGTTCTCCTAACAGCAATGTGAAGCCTTAAAGGGTACAATCAAATGGGCATTTTACAAAGAGCTCACTGGCTGCAATGTGGAAAGCTGAGTCGTGGATCACGATGCTACAACATGTCACTACAAAACAGTGTTTGTGAATAATTTGAGTAACAAAGGAAAGTAAGTATAATGGGATTAAGTATTAAAAGCAGGATACAAAACTGCACATAAAATATAAACTCGAGAGCTTCCCTGGTGGCGCAGTGGTTGAGAGTCCGCCTGCCGATGCAGGGGACACGGGTTTGTGCCCCGGTCCGGGAAGATCCCACATGCCGCGGAGCGGCTGGGCCCGTGAGCCATGGCCCCTGAGCCTGCATGTCTGGAGCCTGTGCTCCGCAACGGGAGAAGCCACAATAGTGAGAGGCCCGCGTACCGCAAAAAA